GCCGGGCTGCCCGGCGCCGGGCGGGGCGGGCCGGGGCGGGGCCGGGGCGGGCCAGGGGCGGGCTATTCCCGCCGCGATGAGCTGTGCCCGGCCTCAGCCCGCCCCGCCCGGCCGGCCCGGGGTTCGCGGTGCGGTGCGGTACGGCCGGGATGGGGGATCCCGCTCTGCACCGGGGCCAGCGGGCACCAGAGGGAGCCGCGCAGCGCCAGCGGAGCCGGGGCGAACCCCCTGCAGAACCCCCCGCAAAAATACTTGAAGGCGTGAAAGCAGCGCGCCCGGCTGCGCTCGTGGCACAGGATGGGGAACGGGTTGGGTTGGAGGGACTGAAGGATCGTCTCCTTCCACGGGCACGGACACCTTCCACTGTCCCGGGGTGCTCCAAGCCCTGTCCAGCCTGGCCTTGGACACTTCCAGGGGCAGCCACAGCTTCTCYGGGCACCCCAGRRCCTYCCCACCCTCCCAGGGAACAATTCCTTCCCAGTATCCCATCCAACCCTGCCCTGTTTCAGTTTGAAGCTGTTCCCCCTTGTCCTATTACATCTAAAAAGTCTCCATCTTTCTTGTACCCCTCCTTTCCCCCCACCCCGGGAACAGGGATTAAAATCCAGGCCACCATCCAGGATGTGCCTGCAGGAGCATAAAAATAACAGATGCACATGCACACAAATAATAAAAAGTAAAATTCACACACTGCGGAAGCTATACTGCAACTGCTTCTCGAGATGTGGCCCTTTGGTTTTAGAGGRGGCTAATAAAAAGGATGGAGAGTGGCTTTTTACTGGAGATACCGCAAGGACAGCGGGGGGATGATTTTCAGCTGAAAGAGGAGAGATTTAGAAATGTTAGGAGGAATTTTTTCCCTRTTAAKGTGGGGASGCCCCAGAGAAGCTGTGGCTGCCCTTGGATCCCTGGAAGTGTCCAAGGCCAGGATGGATAGGGCTTGGAGCACCCTGATCRGTGGAAGGTGTCMCTGCCCWTGGCAAGSAGGTGGYAGAGAATTGATCTTWAAGGTCCCTTCCCACCCAAACCATTCAGTGATGCACCCACATCTCCCTCCTTGTAAAGAATTGTGAGCAAACTCTGAGGTTTGCAAGCTTTGCAGTTCTCCAGCTGGCGAGTCTCTCCTCAGAACGGCTTCAAACGCCACCCTGGCTCCTTGCTCAGCGGGCWGGAAGCAAAAGCAATGCCCTTTTTGGGGCAGAGACCCCTAAATTCAGCAAAGCCACAGAGTGTCTGCGCAATCAGTCACGACACGATCCACCCTTCTCCACCGAGGAAGAAGGGGCTGCCACGGCCGCCTAGCAATGGTTAAAACGGCATGGGAACGAGTAACTACTTTTAATTGCCGGCAGATGCTCAGTTCCTCGGGGCAGGGCAGTGGGGGCGAAGGCGTCCTGGCAGGCGGTAATTCCAGCCTGTGCCTCGCCGCCAGCCCGGTGCTCCCGGGGTTGTGGCTTTGGCTCCCCGGGCTCAGCGATCTGCCCCGGAGCTCAGCCTGCTTCTGCCCTGCAGCGGGGAAAGCAAACCCCGGCAGGACGGAGAAGCTGTTCAATCGGGGTGTGGCACACCAACCATCACCCAAAAATGAAAATCCACCTTTGGGGGATTTCCAGRGCAGCCTGAGCTCTTCCCGCTGCCCAGCCGCCTTCTCCCTGAGCCAGAGGTASCCCCGAAAAGCAGGGGGTGCTGGTGGCTCGCTGCTTGGGCCACCTGCACATGGCTGGCGGTGCAGCTGCCTTGAGTGCCACCTCGAGCATCCCACACTCGGCTGCACTTGAGCCGGTGTTTACAGAGCAGTGGGACGTGCCGGAAAAGGCTGAAGAGCGGAAAAAAAATCTCATTTCCAGTTGCTGTCGAGGGAGTGAAGCTGTGAGGGAAGAGCCTGGCTGGGCAGCGAGGGGAAGGGATGCACCTGATGCAAACCCAGCGGTGCTGGCGTTGGGAGTAAGGGCTTTGGGAAAATAAACCAGGAAAAAAAAAAGGCGTTTTCCAGCCAGATGAGTGGAATTTTAAAGTGCCTGCTTTGGGAATCAGAGTGTGCTTTTTTTTACCTTTTTTTTTTTCCTTTGGTGCAGAAATGAGTGAGAGCGAGTGGATTAAACCGGGCAGCATTTAAGCCTGTCCGGCATTCAAAACATGAATTAAAGCGATGCAAATGAAGGGTTCACTTACCCCTGTTGTGCAATTTGAGGGAAATATGACATGACAAACTATCATTAAGGCAAAGGGCTGTTTTTCCTCCCAGGTGTTTACGTACTACCCCTCATTTTYCCTCTAATGGCCGGGCAGGAACGTGTCAATCAAACTCCCAGCRGCTGATGTGAGGTGTGACGAGTTGCACAGAGCTGAGCTGGACCGGCAGGGTCCAGCCCTCATCATCATCAGGGAGGGACTGCCACCAACTGAGGGATGCAGCACATCCCGCTGGTGACACCACACCCACGGCACCGGAGCAGGGACCTCTGTGGGTCAGACATTCAGGGCTCTGGCACAGCCAGGGGAAGAGGGTGCATGAAAGAGTTAAAAAAGATGGCAATCAGATGGATAATAAACAGAGGAAACTCCCAAAGTTTAACCAGGAGGTGAGACAAAGGCTCGCTTGTTTGGGATTCCAGGTCACGGGCGCCCTTCAGCTTTGACTGCACTGTCATGGGAGGGGTGGGTTTCTCTTCCCACCCAAAGACCTGAGGTGGGTTCAAACATCCTCTCTTAGTTCCTTTTCCTTTCAGACCTTGCCCCCTACTAAAACATCTCAGCAATCTGAGATAAGGCTGGGCTTGCTTTTTCTGGTATAAAAACAATTCCGATTACTGGGAAGAAGGGCATTTTGTTTTTCTTTTTTTTTTAAGAGCTTTTTCTTTTAAGGCCTCAGATGTTACTTGCAGCTGGAAAGGCCGCAGCCAGGGGTAGCCAGAGGTGCTTTTTTTATTTGGGGGTTCAGAGGTCTTGGAGGCAATTTGCATGGCATTATCCAGAGCTGTGCTATCGGGACAAACAGCACTGCCAACCTAATTAGGCATTAGGATGGGGAGAGCGGCTCAAGACCAGCACACAGGGGAGGAAGAGGGGGAACTCAGCCCAGTTACTGATAACAGGGGGTCGAGGCACTGGGAAGGGCCACCCCAACATGGAAAAGCCTTGTAGGGAGTTCTGGTTTCCCTGGGATGCTGCTGCCCTGGTGCTGCCTCCTCACCAGTTCACCTCTTCCGGAGATCCAGCCCTGCTGAAATCCTCCCGCTTTTTGCAAAGAAGGGATTTGAACAGGGAGCTTCTTTTACCAGGAGAGCCCTGGCACAAAGTAAACACCGAGTTAACAGCGGTTCATTTCATTTTTTCCCCCTGCTACTACGATTTCCTCACCTGGGAGCTTCAGCAGCTGCACAAATTCCTGCTGACAGACCTGCTGCAAGGATGCTGCTCCTGCCATGGAGAAATCCTCGATGCTGCCTGGAAAGGACAGGGAATTTGCTTGTCTACACAGCACAGGCAGAGTCAGGGCAGAAAAAGGGTTGGGGCAGGACAGGGCAGGTTTTCCTGCCTAACAGGTGGAGCAGAGTGTTTTGCTGGGWGGTTTGTGACTGGGATGGAGCCAGCGTGTCCCCTCGGTTGGCAACAGGCGGTGACAGAACACGGGGGAACTGCTTGAAACTGGAAGAGGGGAGATTTAGCAGAGATGTTRGCAAGAAATTCTCCCCTGTGAGGRTGGGCAGGCCCTGGCCCAGGGTGCCCAGAGAAGCTGTGGCTGCCCCTGGAAGTGTTGGATGGGTCAGGAGAAGCAGCATCACCTTCAGAGAAGCTGAGGATGGAGAAAACCCCCTGGATTAGCAGGACATCACACATTCCCAGGGAGCTGTCCCTGTCAGGGACGTAACCAGAGAGGGCACAACATCCCCAAGAGGAGCACCAAGCCCATGGGAACACCCTTTAGGGGTCCCCAAATACTCTGGCCCATGGGATACCCGGCGTGCAGGGAATGAGCTGGGATTGCTGAGTCCCTACTCCCTCCCAAGCCAAGCTGGTGGCAGGAGCAGGAGCAGAGAGGCAGAATCTCCACGGAGACACCGGGARGGAGCGGGGTTTGTGCTTCAGTGGCTGCCGAGTCCTTTCTGCTTTGCGGAGCTTCAGCAGCGACGCTGGCGTGTGATTYGATTAGGGAAAGCGCTTCACTTTGCCCTGACTCCAGAGCCTCCTCAAACCCGACTCGAGATGCCATGGGAGTCCTGCAGAGTGTGGGGAGAGGCATGCACACACACTGCCCCTCTCCCTGTGCCCCYCTCGGCCCYTTGTTTCACCTCCCTCCTCCTSCTCRGACAGCRATTCACAGCAGCTCTGTCCCACAGAAGGATGGAGTGGAAGCTGCTCCCCCAGCACCAGGAAATCCTGGTTAAAAGGGATTTTTTTTCAACCCAAAGTGACCACAACTTGTGTTAGGAACCCTTTCCCTGGTGAGGGGCTGGGAACAGGTCCACAAGTGCATTCAGGGAAGGAGTGAGTGCCCCAAACCACCAGGAAACGCTTCGGGGGTTTTCWCTGAGAGCACGGTTTGCTCCAGAGGGAGCTGTCGGCATCTGGAGCCGAGTCAGCCCTGCCTCCCGAGCATCTCTCAGGCATCTGGAAAAGGAGAAAGAAGGGAGATCAGCACAGCCATGAAGCAAAACGGGGATCTTCCCCTCTCCACCGTCCGCTGGAGGGCTGGCAGGGGAGCTGGGAATTGCCAGGAGAGATGAATAAGGGAAAGAAAAGCCACAGCAGGACAGTTTAAAAGCCCCAGCACTGTGGAGCAGGTGCAGAGGCTGCGATAATTCCCCATTTCTCCCAGCAGAGGAACTGGGAGCCCCCAAATCAAGTTAGCAGGCAGCAGATTTAGGGACGAACAAAGGACAGCGCTTTTCCCATGCCGCCCGTGATTAAATTATAGAACTCATTGCCACGGGGTGCTGGGGAGACCTGCAGCCTAAGTGGCCCCCAGAAAGCATTTAGGGAAACCCACGGGGCACAGGAGTCTGTCAAGGTCTGTTAAACATGATGGAGCAGCCACCTCAGGGAGTCCCCAAAGCCCGAAGCAGGATAAGGGGCTCGGCAGACCGGCCATGCCTCACCACAGCACTGGACCAGGGAGATAAACAGCATCTCACACCTAAATCAGCCAWCCCCAAACCCTCCTGAGGGCAAGCAGAGGTTACTGGGCTCGGAACCGCCCATGATGAGGCTACAGGATGGGCAGAAAGGGAGCCCAGTGTTTGTGTCCATGTCAGAGATCCTCTAGGATACCTCAGCAGGGGTTTTTGGCTGGTGGGTGAGACAGGGTGGGCAGGGCTCTGCCATTTCCACAGCTTCAGGAAGGAAAGGGGACAAACCATCCCCTGCTGCCCACGGAGACACCACATTGCAAACCCGCCTGCCACAAGCACGGTCCCAGCTCCTCACTCTCCACCCGGCGTGTCAGCTCAATAATTCATCGTCCAGGAGGTGCAATAACCATCCATAATTCACYGGCAATCATGTTCTACAAGCTGGAGCTGGCCATTTGGACCGCTTCCAAGGGCTCGTCCCTTCTTGCCAAAAGGCACCAGGGCAGCAGCCACCTCCAGGTGGGCACAGCCCCGAGGGCCATCCTGGCAACAGCAGCCTCTGGAGCACTGTCCATCCCATCTGTCCCTGCTTTTCAGGTTTCCAAGGCATTCCTGGAGTGCTGGTGTGAAAACAATGAAGAAATCTTGGATTTTTTGTCTGCGAGGCAGATAAAACCCACAGGCTGTGGAGCAGTGGTGGAGGAGGAGGACAGGGTGTGTGAGCAGTGCAGAGAGCTGGCATTCAGCAGCAGCTCATCACAGCACTGGCTGGTGATTTTTGTGACCCTTCCAGCAGTGAGAGAATCCTGCCAGCACAGGAATCCTGCACCAAGGGAGCCTAGAGGACCCAGAGCRRGAGRAATGCCACTATCTCAACATCCAAGRCTGGTAAAGGGCTCCAAAGTGCAGGATCCAAGGGGTRATTTGGGATTGGGGGCGGCAGTGATGGGCAGGAGAGAACAGAAGCACCCCTGGCAGCTGCAGGGAGAGGTGGGGAATGCCAGCCACCGGGCTCTGGGATCAGAAAAACACCTCTTGCTCAGCAAACTCTGTTAGTCAGGAGTGAAACGCAGCCAGGCAGAGCACGCTGGAGCTGCCTCGCTCCTGGGGGAGATGTTTATTAACTCGTCAAAACACAACCGCCGGTGYTGCCGGCAAGAGCCTGGAACGGCAGGGAAAAAATGTAAGAAGAGAGAAAAAATAGAAATAGAAAAATGGGAGAAAAATTTTTTTTTAAAAGTGTGAAAACCATCATTTGTAGATGGCTGGGGATGGTGTGGGGAGCATRTCTGAGGCTGGAGCACGCAGAGATCCTGGAGAGGTTGGGGAGGAGGTGCTGCAGCACCCGGCCCCGACCCACACCTTCCACAGGAGCCCCTCCCTGACCTTGGTGAAACTGGGCCAATCGGCACACCTGGCCCCAAAAATGACAGCTCCTGAAATAAATCAGGGGAGAGCTGGCAGTGAGACACCCAGCTAAGGCTGGAACAGCACGGGGCTGTGGGCATCACACCCCAGGGACGCCGGAACAGGAGCGGGGAGAGGCCACACAACCACTGCAATTATTTAAATCACATTTGTGTGAGCGCTCCAGATCAGGGACTGTTGCTTCACCAGCTATTTGCTGTTGCTTTACCTGCCTCAAAAGGGAGACAGAGCATTAACTGGGTGCGTGGGTGGKATATTTATCCCAGTTTTTGCCAGGAGTGTCCCTCTGAAATGAAGCCTTGCTGCTCTGAACAACTCCCATCTTTCAGTTACAAGTCACAGGCAGAATTGTCAGTAATTATTACAAGCCCAAAAGGGTGATGCCGGTCTTTATTCATAGAACCCTACAAGGTTTGGGTTGGAAGGGACTTTAAAATGTCATTCCCACCCCTGCCATGGCAGGGACACCTCCCACTGTCCCAGGCTGCTCCCAGCCCCAATGTCCAGCCTGGCCTTGGACACTCCAGGGATCCAGGGGCAGCCACAGCTTCTCTGGGCACACTGTGCCAGGGCCTGCCCACCCTCCCAGGGAACAATTCCTTCCCAATATCCCAACCAACCCTAAAGTCCCCCCACAGCAAAGCTGGCCATCACAAACCAGGGCTGTGGCATTTTCTATTGGGTTTCTCCAGCCTCTCCAGCACTGCCAATGTGTGCTTTAAAGAACAATTTACACCTAAAAACGCTCCCCTCCTGTGAAAGCGCCGCTGTGCAAAACAGCAGATGGTGTTTGAACACTGCAAAATGGAAAATATATCTTTAAAAAAGAGATGCGAGAGTTCTYTTGATGCTACAGGGGCGCCTCGGGGTCTCGATTTGCAGCTTTCTGCATGGGGGAAGAAAAAAAAAAAAGATGGCAAGTGCTGTGAGATAACCCTGCTGAACATCCATCCTCCAGCCAATCCTCATTCTGTGTGGAAAAAAAAAAACAAACCTTTTTCTTAGAGGTTTCAGCAATAAAACACCTTGAACGCTGCTAATTTCCAAAATAAACAAGCAAATCTTCGGAGCAGCAAATGCAAAGGGCCCTGAAGGCATCTCCTAAATGTCAGGGAAATGCATCAGCCCTAAGAGATCTTTTCAATCCCTGCGCAGGCTCTGAGCACAGCAGAGATCTTTGGGAAGTTTGGGGCTTGGTGGCAGCGAAGAAACCCCCAAATTTGAGCGCCCTCACCATCACTTTGAAAGCTGTGCAACAGGAAGAAAACACAAATCAGGCTCTGCTTCGCTCCTAGCAACGACATTTTGACAGCTTCTATTTYGGGGACGGCTTCATTGTTGTCCCCGTGGTCCTCAATGACTGCCTCATCTCAAATCAGCCACAAACCAAAGGGACTTTTCCCCTAAATGTGTGAACGCTCACAGATCGGGCTGGCTGCTCCCAGCCTGGCCCCAAATAATTTTATAATTTAATAATTTTTAAATTATTTTTTAATAATAGGTAAAATCAGTTATAATACTATAATAATTATATTATAATAATATTTAAAATATACAATTACTATAATATCAATAATAATATAGTATCATATAATATTATAATAGTTATAATATTATAAATAGTTTTTGTGCAAACAATTGAAAGGTATTAATATTTTCGTGTTACAAGGTAGAGTTACTTATATGTTAAATTATTGTAATTTTTGTTGGATGTATTTATGTTGTAGTGCATATAAAGCAAAGTTTACATGCTTTGTGAAGCATAATAAATAGTTGTTTGAGAGGAATTTGTAAGAGCAATTTGAAGGTTAGTATTTTTTGATAACRGTTATGGTTTTGGTTCTGAGTACTTGTAGTTGCTTTTTGTTTTTCGCAATTTAGTGTGAAAATGTGTTATTAATATAAAACCAGTAATTTTAACATATGTAAAGAGATTTTTGCA